TTTGAAAAAAGTATGAAAAATCAGGACAGTGGGTAATAGTATTTAAAGCAGCAAGTACACTACAGGGGTTCAGTTTAAGAAAAGGTGTTTAAAAGTCCATTAGATTGAACAATAGAGATATATTTGGTGGTCTTTGTGAAAACAATTTCAGAAATTAGGTGAGTACAAATTCCAGAGGACAGTAAGTTAAAGAGTATTTGGGGGAAGGAAAGTAGAGTTCACTATTTTGTGTTTTTGTGATATAAGGGACTGGAATCTGTTGAAATCCATTTAGGAAGAAGAAAACTGAAGAATTGAAGACACATGGAAGAGAAGTAATCAGTACAATAACCTTCTAAGAAGGGAATAGATAAGATCCAGATCAAAACTGGGAAGATTATCTTAGAAAATTCCTACATAGACTTCACTGTAACAGAAAGGAAGAAAAGAAAGAAAGAAAGAGAGAGAGGGGACAGGAAAGGAAAGGAAGGAAGGAAGGAAGGAAGGAAGGAAGGAAGGAAGGAAGGAAGGAAGGAAGGAAGGAAGGAAGGAAGGAAGGAAGGAAGGAAGGAAGGAAGGAAGGAAGGAAGGAAGGAAGGAAGGAAGGAAGGAAGGAAGGAAGGAAGGAAGGAAGGAAGGAAGGAAGGAAGGAAGGAAGGAAGGAAGGAAGGAAGGAAGGAAGGAAGGAAGGAAGGAAGGAAGGAAGGAAGGAAGGAAGGAAGGAAGGAAGGAAGGAAGGAAGGAAGGGTGCAGATTTAGCCAAGTCTATTCACTAGTAGAAAGTCAAAGGGGTTCCCACCTATAGCTTTTATGATCACTGAGAATTAGAGGGTACATTTATATCCTATATAAAAAGGCAGTGAGACCAGAAGTTTCGAATGCATGGAAAAGGTTATGAGTACTGGGAAATAGATAATAAATTTAGTAGATGAAACAGTGAAGGTTTCCATGAACATTACACCCTCAACTGATTTGTGGTTTTAAGAAGGAAGAGACCATAGATATACAGTGACAGAGGTCTCTCCCTGGCTTTTTCTGTAGTAGCAGGAATACTCTCTTCCTTTCGTCAAGGTGGAACTTGTGAACTCAGTCAGGTACTTGTGTTCCGCATGGATTTCACCTACCTCCCCAGGTTCAAATCCCAAGGCCCTATATCCACTTGTTGTTTGATCCTGGATTCCTAAGTTATTGGCACAGATCTATAGTTAATTCAGAGTTAGTTATTTCCATGGGACTTCTTTCCTGTGTCATCATTACCCCATGATAACTCAGTTCCCCATATAAACACTTGTTTAGTTAGGCTTAAAACTCTCCCTTATATATCTAGCATATAGTTCTTGCAATAAGAGCCATGCTAAATATCTCTTGGAGGAATTCTTGGCAGCCATACTTCTAAGGATATTAAATATATCCAACTGTCCTTCATACTTTGATAACACCATATTTATTCTTATGTACACAATACACAAACTTTCACTTTTTCATTAGTGGTTGACTAGAGAAAACTCTTATCACACCTAATTCTGGAGAAAAATTCTGGAATATCTCATTTGCTTTATAATACCCAACTTAGATTCAAGACTAAATGTGACAAGGATCTAATAAAATTGATTAAAGATGTATAGGAATTTTTTTTCTGAAAATAAAAATCTGGAGCTTGATTTCTGCTCATAAATGTTGTTAGAAGGCTTTATACAGAATTAAAAAGTTTTTAGAATAATCCATTAGTGGAAATATATGTGATAGAGCAAAGTGACTGGGGCAATGAATATAATTTAATAGCCAAACTGTTTTGAAAAAGTAATATTACATAATTATTATGAATGTGGTTCCTCATAGCACCACCTAAATCAGATCTACAGTTTAGGGAAATTAACTTGTTAGCCTCAGTTTTCTTCTCTGTGAAGTGGTAAAATAAATAGTGCCTACCTCATAGGGTTGTTGCAAGGATTAAATTGGACATTCTATACTTCATAGCCCAGAAGCAGTCTGCCTGCAAGGAGATATACTTTATCACTGACGTTTAGAATAGACCAAGTCCTTCCTAATATCATAGCAGATTGCCTTTCATTTAATTTTATAATTATTTTTAAACTCTATAGACAAATCACATCTTTGTCACTTGCCTCTTGGGCTGACCACTCTTATAATCTTAATGAAGGGGTTGTTGTTATATTTGAGTGAAATACATATCAAATTCTGAAGTTACATTCATAGAAGAATTAAAAGAATAAGGTTAATTACATCACATTTTAAGTGTATCTTTCTGAAAATTAACTGTTTCATATTTTTAAGTTGCTTTACTTAATACTGAGTTAACTTAATATTGAATAAATGTACTACCACGCAATGGAATTGAGTGTGCTTATATCTTGAGTTACAAATATATCCTAATATCTTGAAAACTCAGTTAACTCATTAATAGAGATCATTTCAATATTATCTGTAAACAGAAAAAATCTCTCATTTTACAAAAGTTCTGTTTCATTTTGTTTTTGTTTAGGTATTCCAGCAGGCACATGTGCTCACCAGAGACAGACAGACAGACAGACAGAGAGGAAGAGGGAGAATATACCTCCTCCACATCTGCATTAAGCCTTTCTCTATTTCTCCACTCTGTCAGAATTTGGAGCACATGCACATACATGCACCAGACATGTTTTTCAATCTGTCAGGGCCCATGTTTGAACTTCACAGTCAGCCATGTGGAAGCCAGCTACCTTACCATCAGGCCACAGGGCTGACTCTCATAAAAATTCTATAAAGTTTCTGGACAACTTTTATTTTTTTTGAGAGGTTTTTGCTATTGGCTGTATGCACTTGCCAGAAAGACAGAGACAGAGAGACAGAAAGTGAGAAATCACACCACCAACCCCCCCCCCCCCGTAGGGGGGGCCCAGCCCCCCCCCCAGTAGGGGTGGCCATGCTGCAATCCCTTCTCTTCCATTTTCCTCCTAGGATCTTGAGTATGCATGTACACATGCCCAGTATGAGTTTAAGCCACTGGTCCAGGACTCAAACTGCAGTCAACTACATGGGAGTCCAGTGATACAGCCTTACTCTATCTGCTTGTCCCGTCTGGACAACTTTTTTTATCCCCATATATATTCATATTCAGGCATTTCCCAAGTTTTAGGGCACATAGATAAGCAAAGCAAATAGTTCAACCTAGACATAAGATTCTCATTTCTATTCTTTCCTCCCGGCAAAAGGTAATAGAACATCCCCCCTCAAACTATAAAATGATGACCAAGATCTGTTGAGCCCTAAGCCTTTGTTCCTCAAGATGTACTTCCACAGTAAGAAAACATTCTTCTATCAAGCTTCTTGGGAAGGAATTCTCTCTCTTCCCTCCTCTCATTCTTTCTTTCTCTCTCTGCTCTTTTACCTCCTTTTGTCTCTTTTCCTCTCCTTTCTTTTTTTTCTTCCCCTTCATTCTCTTTCCTCTTCCTCCCTCTCCTCGCCTTCTTTCCTTTTCATTTCACTCAGACAGACACACACACACACACACACACACACACACACACACACGCATTGCTTCTGCTAAAAATAAGTCTTGCTAGCAAGCATCCAGGTTTAACACCTCAAATGTGAGAATATTTTTCTAAAGTAATTTGTGGATAACTGTGCTTTGCTTTTTATTTTTTAATGTATTTTCCTGACATAGCTATTGTTTCAGAAAGCTATAATTAGTAAACATAAGCCAACTATTTTTATTTTCCGTCAGCCAGATGCCAACCTGTCTGTAGCATCTCTCAAAGAACAGAGTCAGCATGGCTCTTATCATTTGCATTCTTGTTTATCAGAGTTGGTGACAATGACAACTAAAATGAATAGCCACTGCTTAGATAAAATGGTTTTGTTTCCTAATTGTTACTGGGCTGTGATTAGGAAAAACCCAGGGATAAAATATAAACCAGCTTTAAAAATAGTGGCTCACTGTCCTTTAAATTTTCAGAATCTACTATGATTAAGTTTAACTGTTATCTTCAGTTATTGAAGCATTTTCACCTAACCCTAAGCCAGTCTCAGGCTACAAATGAGATCACTCTGAAGTTAAATATGTCCTCTCAACAACTAATATTCTATTTAGTAAAGAAGGTATTTAAAAATGATAAGTTGAAAAGTATATTCTTTAAAAGAAGTATAGATGGGAAATAGGGATATCTTTGAGGTACACATAGAGGTGATAAGAATTTAAGAAAGAGAAACAAAATGGCCTAATTTTCCAATATGGTAGGCTTACACTATAGCAAGTCACCTAGCCATTTAAGTTCTCTAGCTATCTCACGTATCTGTAAACTTACCACTCAGGACAGGAACATTATACAGGGAAGTAACTTATTTTAAAGAGTAACTTCCATTAATCAAAGATAGTAATATTAGAATCCAAATCCAATTTCTGGATAACCCCCTGGTTTACCTGTACGAATCATTTTGGATGAGTTGCTGGGTAGCAGTAAGATGTAGGAAAAAGAATCAAGAGAAATTGTCACAAATATCAGTAACATAAGCTAGTGCACAAAGTCACCACCTTCTGGTCCTGCTCTCCTGGTGAAGCCTCTCGGTATGGGATATTCTAGAAACTCATGATTTCATACTTTCAATCTAATCACGCCTATTGATAAGGTATTCTATTTTATTTATATGCCAATGTTCTTTTTTTATTTGTTTATATTATTTGAAACCTCATTCTCTACCCACAATAAAATATTTGTTCCGATATTTCCCTTTTAAACATCCTCCAACATATATGGCAATAGGAACACTAGTTACTCTACTCCTAATTACAATTTACAGCATTTTCTGGTAACATGGCTCAACAACATACCACCATTAATGTGAGGAGATCCTGCAATTGGAGCAAATGTCAGTGCTGTCCCAGGTCAGTCTCAGGTGGATTATCTCTCTTAGGCTAAACTCCCATTATATAGTTGGGTTTCTTCATTCTTATAATGGCAAGAATATTAACACTATATTGAACAAGTATTTATTGAATGCATATAATAGACAGTTTTAGGTTCTTTGGATAGCGAATTGATCAAGAGAATAAGAAATATGTCATCCCTTGAGAAGTTTCTATTCTTTTGGGACCAAACAGGCAATAAAGATCAAAAATAAATTTTAAAAAATTTAATATTAAAGAAATAATAAATCTTGAGGGGAAAAGAAAAAAAAACACAGACAGACAAAGGAGATAAGGAATCTATGTGGGTGTCAGAGCAGTGCATTTTACAAAAGGGTGGTTGGATTAGACATCATTGAAAAAGTGACACTGGGACCAGCGGATGGCATAATGGTTACATCGCTGAGCTCTCACATAGTTGACTGTGTTTTGAGTCCTAGACCTGGTGGTTTGACACACGCTGGGTATGTGTGCATTCATGCCAAAAATTATGAAAAGAGAATGGAGAAGAGATTGCAGCATGGCCAGCCCCCCTCAGGGGTGATTTCTCACTTTCTGTTCTGTCTCTCCAGAAAATGCACATGCCCTGCAGCAAAAATCTCTCTACCAAAAAAGGAAAAAAAAAAAAAGTGATAATGAAGGAAAGGCATATCCTATGTTTACCCTCATTGCTCATACGGTTACACCTCAATTCACTAAATAAATACGCATTTTTTTTCACTAGATACAACCACATTTCCTACTTTCAATATAATTGATTTCACCTGATTTACCTTTCTGCAATGAAGACAATGTTGGCACTTGGGGGAGAGGGTGTAAGGCGCCCCTAAAAGACCTCTCCCCTCGTGGCACCAAAGATGGCGCCTAGCGGAAGTCCTCGAGGCCTTACTTATGTAAACAACTATACGGAAGTGGGCATAGCGGTGACGTGGTATGCACATGATCACCACGGGAACAGTACATGCAACCAATCATCACCCGAAGATTAGTTTCCGTGCACGTGGACAATGAACCAATTGGCTATGGGCCCTATATAAGGCCCCGGGGGTTGGGGAGGGCGAGGGGCCCTATATAAGGCCCCGGGGGTTGGGGAAAAGGGAGAAGAAGATTTTAAGAAGCCTGGGGAAATAAAGTGTTCCAGAGAAGACCTTGTCAGCGTCCTCATTGAAGCAACAGGAGGATATATCTCACTAGAAGTCAATTTGGTACTGAATTTTTTCTACAATATATCCTTAAAACATACACTTCATTACCTTGTCATATGTGAAAAAATATACATTCTTTAGTTCTTGTAGGAAAAAAATATCTGCAGGGGCTTTCAGGCAGACCTGTGCTCTATACCAGTGGTTATAAAACTTGCACCTGCTCAGAATTACCAGGAGGACTTACTAAAACAGAGATGGGTTGGCACCTACTCCAGAGGTTCTGAGTCAATAGGTCTGTGATGGGGTCTGAAAATTTGCATTTCTAAAAAGTTGCCAAGTGATGCTTGTCAGAACACATTGAGAACTACTGGTTTGCAGCAACTTAGTAAAATTATAATGATTTTCCAACTCAATTGTAAAATGACAAATGAAAATAACATTCTCAGTTCTAATTCTATATAGCTAAAGGAAAGAATGTTACTTAGTATTTATTATTACTTTAGTCTTTTCTTTCTACCAGACAAGAAAGAGGGAAAAAAAAACAAGATTTTTCCTCACTCTACTATCTCTCACATATAACATCACGCACCAAACCAAATGAAACAAAACGCTCCTTTTCAGAACCCAAACAATATTCTATTTGCCTAAAATTGCCTTACATTCCTAAACTTAGTGTATATTTCTAAGATGTTCGTGGTTACTCAAGTAGGTTAGCTATAAGCTCAGCAAAAAGTTAAACTCCTCGCTGTTTTCATCAACTGTAGAAAATCCATTCTTAGTGTATAAGAAACCAAAACACCCTATATAAATAAATAAATATAAATTATGTATTGATGGATAGGAAAAGCACCGAGAACTCATTCTCGAGCACAAATTTCTCTGACTGCAAATCCTTCTATCTTGGTCCCTGAGGAATCTGACGTTCCATTAAAAAGTCAGACCCCAGATTGATGGATGAATTGAGATGGCTCCAAGCAACAAGTGATTCAGTGCTGCTTTCAGAAACGCAGTGAAATGAAGCAAGGATAGCGACTTATGTTTTGAACAAGCTGTGAGATTGTCTCAGCTCGTTTTTGTGGAACTGATGCCTTTCCTGTAAAGGTTTCTTAGGCAGAAGTGAAGCACCACTCCTATTGCTACAGAAATAAGCTTTATGTGCTGTGCTTGTCAAGGGCCGCTGGATATGTCAGGAAGATAGCAGCAGTAACAGAGAAAATGCATTCGTCTCCTTAGAAATGAGCGTGGGCAGTTGTGAGCCAGGAGTAACTAAAGATTCTTGTCTCTTGGTAAAGAAAGTAGATGTACTTTATGGTCATATTACCTAAGAATATAATGAGACAGTCATTAAAATATGGTAATTAAGGCCAGCTACTGGTTGAGGTGGCAGGATCCCACATGATTGACCATGCAATTCAAATCCAGACCCTGCAGCTTCAGAAACATACTGGATGTATGTGTGTGCGTGCCTAAGGTCCCCCAAAAAAGAGACATGGCAAAGGGATTGTGGCAAGACTTTCCGATAGAGAGGTACTTTTTCACTTGCCCCCACTGTCTTTCTCTGGTTTGGAAAGTACACAAACTCTAAATGGCAAATTTAAATAAATACATAAATAAATGGTAATCATCCTTTTTTTAAATAACTTTTTTAAGAATTATTTTATTTAACCTTATTTCATTTCTTTCACTTGTTTTTTTTTTTTTTTTAATTTGACCAGAGAGAGAAAAAGAGAGAGAGAAAGACACCAGGTCTGAGACTCAAACGGCACTGGCCATGTGGGAGTCCAGCACCCTTAACCACCATGCTACCTGCTGGCCCCTGTAGTCACAACTTCTAAATCACACAAAGAAAAATATTGAAGCAAAGGCCAAAGGAGTGTGTCAAAAGACAAAGCAATTTCACATGTTTGTTAAATAAATTATTAAGTGAATTATTCCCCCCTTTCTAATACTGAGTAATTTAGATTTACCTAAACCACATTTGGGCATTCAGAAAGTAATAATATTTAGGAAAAAAAGACTGGACTTTATTGGTATTATTGAATTGCTACCCCTACAGGATCTCCAACTCCCTGTTAAAAAAAAAAAATTAAAAATCTTGAATTATCTCAAAAGCACCAGAAGTGGTCTCATCTGTATTTGTGATCTGCTCCAGCTGTTACCACTCGAATTTGCTGTATTCTTCTTGTCCCACTCTGACCGCCTCAATGACAGCCCACTGCTTCCAACTTCTGCCAGTCTCTGCTGCCAGCTAAGCTGCAAGAAATGGTGTCAGCCCTGTGTGTGCTGTCCATGTCAGTACAGTTTAAGCTTAGATTAAATCCCTTTACTAAATGCAAAATTACTTTTGCAAGTGTTAACTTTGTGTATAGTTGACACCAAAACTGATGACTCATCTGATACATTTTACCAGTTTATATAAAAGGCATAAAATGAGATTTTTTTAAAAGAATTATTTATTTAATTTTATTTATTCATTCATTTTATTATTTTTTTTTCTTATTTGACCAGAGTTAGACACAGAGAGAGGGAGAGACAGAGAAAAAGAGGGAAAGTGAGAAAGCAAGCTACCAGGTCTAGCACTCAAACATGGCTGGCCATGTGGGAGTGTCCGGCCCCTTAACCACCATTATAAACTGGGAAAAAGGAAGCTAAACAAATTTCAATTTAGCACAGGGCTCTAGGAAGTTACTGCTATAAGTCTTTGCCCTCTTCCTGTCTTAGTGGAAGCTAATCACCAATGAATTTTTCCTTAGTTTAGCATTTTGCAGTTATATTTAGCAGGCAGAAGTGGGAGAGAGGACAGAGACAGAGACAGAGGAGCCTCTCTGGAACTTTCCTTTGTGTTGTACGTGATCACATCTACCCCTTAAAATCTACCACTTATATCTACCCCTTAAGAAATGAACCAGTTTTTTTCTACCCGTCTTCTCTTGGATTATAGGTCTCTAGACCTTGTAGCTCAGAAGACTGGTGAGCAGGATGGTTTCAAAAGGGAACTGACAACCTCCCACCTCTAACCCATACTCCCCAACAAGGTTAAAGCTATTTAGATTTACCATTTATAGTTAAATACTCAGCCAAAACATCATTAGAAAAAAATGATGATTTTTCCTTCTGCCTAGCAGAGGGAATCAAAGACAACTGCATATTGCCAACATTACACAAATATGTGAGGAACGAGTTTAGAAAGCACTAAAGAAAGGACTCTAACCAAACAAGCTACAATAAGAGACCTCAAAAGCGGGCAGGTAGAGATCTACAGTTCTAGCTTTACGTGGTCAAGCTTAGAAGTCTTATTTTTCCCCATATTTTCAGTAGGGAAAAAGCTGCACAGAGTAAAGCCAATGACTTTCCTTAGCCCTGTAGAAGAATCAAGTTTAGAGGGGGTTTGGGGGAGACACCATCCAGAAACCTTGAGAGACAATAAGATATACAAATGGCAAATAAACAACAAAATGTGCTACCATCATTTGTCATCAGGTAACTGCTAATTAAACCCAAAAGATAGCACAATTTATCCAAACTCATAGGATAAGCCCACGCTGCTTGTTCTAGCGTAAAGGCTTTTAAGAGCAGAGAACACATGTAACTGAGTTACCCAAGGGACAGGAAGTAGGCAGCTCCTCTGATGACAGCAACAAGTCCCCTGGCAGAATCCAATGGGCAGAGCAGTAGCTCCAGCTACTGTAGGAACTACCCACAGATTAAGCAAGACTCAGAAACTGTAGATTCCTATAAAGGAATGACAACTAAGTATCACTCCTAATTTGAACTTTTGGTTTCCTTATTGGGAAAGCAGTCTTTTGGGGGTCCCAGAGAAGAAAAAAGATGGGGCAGGAGGAGGCAAAAGCTAAAACAGAAGCAGGAAAAGCTCCCTTGTTTGGTTGCTCTGGAGATGAAGGTGAAAGGCCAGCCCCAAAACTTCTATTTTAGTCATTAAACCAGCCAACTCCTTTTTTTTCTTCTGTTACAGCTTTAGTGAGATATAATAAAATATAATAAATTACATGTTTATAGTGTATGATATAAGTTTTTTAAAATTTTAAGTATATTTATTATTTACATTTAATCACTATA